CCCAGGTACCCCCTGTGGCCGGGCGGGCAGCGGGTGCCAGCACAGGACCCCTGGGCACCGCGAGCCGAGCCAGGGTCTCCCCTCGCAGAGCTGCTGCTGACGCTCAACGTCTCTGCGCTGTACCAGCACCTGAAGGGCTTCGGAGGGTCCCTCTCCGACGCCGCTGCCCTGAACATCCTGGGGCTGTCGCAGCCGGCCCAGGACAACCTGCTGCGCTCCTACTTCTCCGAGAGCGGTGAGCAAGGAGGGCACCGGCAGCATGGGTGGCTCGTGGGGTCCCCAGAGGCGGCTGCGCCTGTCCCCACTGCAGGGACACCCATCAGCTGGGCGCCTGCTCCGGTGCCGCTTGATGCCTTTCCTGCTCCGCAGGGATTGAGTACAACCTCATCCGGCTCCCCATGGCTTGCAGTGACTTCTCCGTGCGCCCCTACAGCTACGACGACGTCCCCCATGACTACGAGCTGAAGCACTTCAGGCTGGCAGAGGAGGACGTGAAGATGCCCCCGTGCTTGGTTCCCGCAGTCATTGACCTGCTGATGGTGAGCGAGGCCCGGCAGATGGCCAGCATCACACACAAGATCCGGATGGAGCTCCTGACCGTTAATGACGTTTACCTCCTCTCCACCTTCCGCCTGCCTCCCAAGCAGGGGGGGACCCTCTTCGGCCTCTACTCCAAGAAGGACAACACGAAGTGGCTGGAGGTCTCCGTGGTGGGGAAAATCAACAAAGGTGGGTGCCGGCTGCGCGGGGGTGTGCTGGCCCCGAGCTTGCCATGATGCTCAGAGAGAAAAGGAGACCAAGTTCTTGCCGTCCGTGGGGCCCGTTGGGGAGAACAGCGGGATACACGCAGGTCCTGGGGGGCTGCCGGCGCTGGGGTGGAGAGCTGACGGCCCCTTCCCGCTCCTCCGCAGTCCTGGTGCGCTACCTGCGGGAAGACAACAAGCTGCATTCGGTCAACCTGCAGCACGCGCACGTGGCGGACGGGCAAAGCCACACCGTCATCGTGCGCCTGAGCGGGCTGCGTGGGGACATGCTGAGCGTGGAGCTCTACGTCGACTGCAAGCAGATGGACTCCAGCGTGGGGCTGCCCGAGCTGTCGGAGATCCCCCTGGCGGAGGTGGAGTCCATTGAGGTGCGCACGGGGCAGAAGGCCTACCAGAGGATGCAGGTGAGTGCCAGGACCCCCTGGGGGGCTAAGACCCCCCCACCCCACGCCCTCGGGGACAAGTGGAGCCCCCCACGCCTGACTGCATCTCCCCTTGTACGTCAGGGGTTTGTGGAGTCGATGAAGCTGATCCTGGGAGGGTCCATGAGCCGTGTCGGGGCCCTGAGCGAGTGCCCTTTCCAAGGAGACGAGTCCATCCACAATGCAGGTAACGGCAGATCCGGGCCCTGCGCTGAGCAGGGGCTTAACGGGGTCACTCCGTGCTGTGGCATGTGGAGGTGGGAGGTGACAGCACGAGGCACAGAGGGGTGCTCCTGCCTCTCCCAGTCCAGGTGTCCCCACGCAGGTGGGAGCTCCTGCGCTGTGAACATGCTGACCGGGAGCAACCGTGCAAGGTGACGCTGCTGGGCTTTGGTGGCAGCATTCGGTAACATCTCACCTCTCTCCTTGCAGTAACAAGCGTGCTGGCATCCATCCTGGGTAAGTCCCTGCTCCGCTTCCCCCTTTCCCTGGCGTGCGGGGGATGGCAGCGGTCAGGGACCCCCTGCAGCCTGTCCCAGTGCCCCCAGTGCTGCAGGGCCCCGGGGTGGCACAGGATGTGCTGCATGGGAAGGGGTCCTGTCTGGACCAGGGAGGAGGAGGAAGGGCTGTCGGCTGTCTTGCCCTCCCAGTTCGGTGCTGGGGGGGCAGAGCAGTCCCCAGCCCACAGCCCCGGGAGGCTGCATCTGTCCTGGGGCTGACCTTGTCCTTTCTGCTCCTGGCAGGCGAGCAGACCAAGGCGCTGGTCACCCAGCTGACCCTCTTCAACCAGGTCCTGACTGAGCTGCGGGAAGATATTAGGGACCAGGTGAGGCGGCAGGGCGGTATCGGCTCTCCCCGGGCTGGGTTTGCCCAAAAGCAGGGTGCCAGGCAGTGCACTGCAGCCCCCTGATGCTCCATGCTCTGCTGCCTCGCAGGTGAAGGAGATGTCTCTGATCCGCAACACCATCATGGAGTGCCAGGTCTGCGGTGAGTGCTGGCGAGGCTCTGCTCCCACCTCAGGGGGCAAAGGGCCGCCCGGTCTCACCCCCTGCCCTGCCCTCCTCTTCTCAGGCTTCCACGAGCACCGGTCCCGCTGCAACCCCAACCCCTGCTTCAGTGGCGTGGACTGCATGGAGACGTACGAGTACCCCGGGTACCGCTGCGGGCCCTGCCCGCCGGGGCTGGAGGGCAACGGCACGCACTGCGCCGACATCGATGAGGTGGGCACGTGCCTGGGGCAGGTCAGAAGTGACACCTGAGCCCCAGCGCTTCCAGACGATGCTTCCCCTCTCCAGACACATCCCCAAGCTGAGGAAGGGCCCTGCCAGAACGCCCCGGGGCAGCGGCCGCCCCGATGTGCAG